TGTGGAGATGGGAAGGTGAGGGCCCTGTGGAGACAGGAAGGTGAGGGCCCTGTGGAGATGGGAAGGTGAGGGCCCTGTGGAGATGGGAAGGTGAGCGCCACCTCGGGAGCCTCCAGGGTTTTGACTCCCAGACTTCTAGCTGCACCTTCTACCTGGAACACCCTCTCATTTATGTGCTGGCCTCACTCAAGGCAAACCTTTCTCGTGTCCTGTGGCACAAAGCTCCCCTAACTTGTTCCCTTGTTGTCTCCCCTCGTCACCTCCCTCATCTCTAAAGCCTGTTGGTTCGCAGCCCTCAGACCTCTTTTCTGTTCCCTGAACACACCCCAGGACCTGCACTCGTCCCTCTGCCTCACAAAGTACCCTTCCCCGGTTTTGAAACATGTTTTTGCTGTAGTTTGTTTCTAAACTAACCTTTTAGGATTAGCTTTTTTTTTTTTTTTTAATTAAAGCAATACAAAGTTTAACCAGAATTTAGACTATTCATTGGACATTTCTGAGTCTGGGTTAGTATTCCTGGGCTCACATTATGACCACAGAGGTAATTAAAGTGCTTCTCTTTTATGTATGTATGTATGTATGTATGTATGTATGTATGTATGTATGTATGTATCCATCCATCCATCCATCCATCCATCCATCTATCTATCTATCTTGAAATGAGGTCCTACACAGGCCAGTCAATCTGGCCTCAAACTTCCCATATAGCTGAGGATGACCTTGAACTTCTGATCCCCCTGCCTCTGCTTCCCAAGGGCCAGGATTACAGGTGTGCATAACCATGCCCCAGTTTTATACAGTGCTGGGGATGGAATGTGGAACACATACTTTACATGTCAAGCATGCTGCCAGCTGGGCTCCATCCCCAGCCCCTTGAGCATTTTTCAACAGTAAAGCTTGTAGAAGGAACCCTCTGCCTGTCTGCCGACCCCAAGCCTTGCTCCCAACAGTAATTAGTATGAATTGTCTCAGCTATTTCTTTATATACACCTTTAAAAACAACACGGCTTCACTGCCATTACATTTCAGTAGGCATTCTTGGTAGACGTCTTACTTAAGAAGATGAGAATCTAATTCTCACATGGGCCTTTTCCAAATAGCTATGTCTTGCTGCCATTTTGTGTTTAAGTAATGGGACTGTGTATACGTCTTCCTGGCAGAGATGTGTAGGTACGATGATTACAATCACCTCTTCATGTTTGATAAGTTTTCCATTTTCTTCCTATTAATTATTCCCAGGGCTATTAGCAACTTTCCCAGACTGCTCTCCGATGCTCAGGCATGTCTGAGTGCTTGTGGGCTTTAGTTATTTCAGAGTTTCCTTGAAGAATCTTCCTGGCGCCATTGCCTTGGCCCCCTCCGCTGTCCCATTAGGATCTCCTGCTACTTGTGTGGGTCACGGTCCCCGTGGTTTGTGCCTTTGTAACCTTTTTACACGCTCCTTTGTTCAGATGGAATGCACCTTCCAGTAACTTCCAGGCAGGTGCACTGTTTTCCAAAGGGTGCTATAACAAATGGTCACTCACAGAGGGGCTTAAAAAGCAGAAAGCCTTCTGTAGTCCTGAAGGTTGTGCATCTCAAGGGTCGTCAGAGCCCTGCTCTGCCCGGACCCCGAGAGCACTTCCTTGCTTTTTTTACCACTTCTGGAGGAGGGCTGCCAATGCCTGTCCCTGGGCTTGAGGCTGTTTCAGGCCGGTCTCTCTGTCACCGTCCCTTGTCACTCTCTGTGTGTCTCTGGGCCCACGTCCCTGCTTTTTATAAGTACCCCAGTTATACTGCTTTAAGGGCCAGCCTCCAGGATGGCCTCATCTTAACTACAGCTGCCATGACCCCTTCTCAACCCTTTCTCATCCGACCTCTACGGGCCATAGCACCTCATAAACATTCCATATTTAGTGTTTGGTTTGTTTTTAACACACTCACAGCTCTCAGACATGAACTTTGTAGATGACAGTGTCATACTGCAATGTAAACGTCGGTCCCTCAGCCAAGCGTTGTGACCTGTGTTTCATTAACTAGAAGGGAACACAGCAGTCCCCAGGGTGCCACCGGGTGAGTTTTGACAGGTGTGAATGCACTAGTGTCCAAGTTCCTGCCAACATTCACATTCCTTTCATTCGGTAAAGGAATTCTCGTGCCCAGTTCTGGTACCCCCAGCTGCGCATGGCTGTGACGAGACCGTGAAGCGTGGCCTCTCGGTACCTGGCGATCACTCCTTTGTTGCCCCCCTCCCCCACACACACCAGCTTCTCTCTGTGCTCTTGCAGGAGCCTTGACCTTGGACAGTCCATGGCTCACAGTGTCGGCAGCTCACAGGCTCTACTGGCCACACTGGACCGAGTTCCAGGCTGTCTCAGAGCTGACGCTGGCCAAGGCCTGGACCCTCAAGGATCTGGTGGTCAGCATGACCTGCAGGAGCCAGGGCCATGACAGGGAAGTCAAGATCCAGGTGTACACTGAAGCCACCACCTATCTCTGGGTAAGCAGGACAGGTTGCAGTCCTGTCATCTCATGTACATGTCTGTATGCATGTCTGCATGTCTGCTCGTGCATATGCATGTATGTACAGAGCTTGGTGTATTTGTCCTTTTTTTTTTTTTTTAAATCAGCTTTACACAAATTAAACTTAATTGAGAAAATGCCTCCATCAAATTGCCAGTAGGTGAATCTATGGTGCATTTTGTAATTAGTGATTGAGGGGGGAGGTCCCAGCCCATTGTGAGTGATGCCACCCTTGGGCAGGTGGTCCTGAGTGATGTAAGAAAGCAGGCTGAGCAAGCCACAAGGAGCAAGCCAGCAAGAGCTCCCCTCTACAGCCCCTGTTCCAGTTCCTGTCTCCAGGTTCCTGCCTTGAGTTCCTGCCCTGACTTCCCTCGGTGATGGGGTGTGGCCTGAGACTCATAAGATGAAACAAGCTCCTCCCCAAGTTACTTTGGGTCATGACACTTTATCACAGCAAGAGAAACCCTAAGACAGTGTTTGTGCATATTTGTGTGTGTGTATGTGTGTGTGTGTGTGTGTGTGTATGCATATGTGCCTATGTGCGCACGCCCTCCTCCCACAGGGGCCTTGCACAGTCTTGACTGGAGGAGCTTTGAAGGATGAATAGGAGTTCACCAAGTAGAAAATACAATAAAGAGCACCTGTAAAGGGGGGGGGGGTGTAAATGGCTCAAAGGCTCTGCTCATTCACCTGGCTTCCTTGCAGGTTTCCATGGTGACAACCTTGATGCCAGGCCTGTTCCACAGCAGGAGTGAGCTCCAGTCAGCCTGGAGTGCAACTGTGCAGAGTGAGGTCCGTGCAGAGAGCAGCCAGCACAGGAAGGTCCTGCACTGCTGGCTGAAGAGTCTCCCGCGGGAGCTGAACCTCACAGCAGCCTACAAGCACACAAGGAAGGTGAGTGCCAGGTGGTCCTTGCACTCGGGAGACCCTGGGTTCCTTTGCCCGCTCTGTTTGGCCTGTGACCTTGGGCCTCCTTGAGCATCGATTTCTTCAAGACACCAGGCATGTTAGGGCAGACCACAGATAGGGTCAAGGGTGGGGACTCAGCTTCCTCAGCCCGGAAGTTCCACATGCTGGTGGCGGGAGGGATCCCTGGGAGGTAGAGGTTTGGTGACTGGTCCTGAGGACCTGGTGGGCTGGCCAGAGGCTGCAACCAGGCTCAGTAGCCATTCTGGCGGTCAATCCCAGGGCCGGCGGTGGGAGGCAGCCTTTGTCTCTCTGTGGCTGAGGCTCAGCAGCTGACTCCCCGCCCCCGCAGTGGGTCCTTACTCCCCTTAGCCCTGTTCCCGTTACAGCCCCAAAAGACCTATGTGCTGCTGACAGTCCTGGGGACTGGTGTCCTGGGCCAGCCTGGAGGCCTGCAGCTGGAGGGAGAGCTGGAGCAGCTGCAGAGAGGCAAGACATTGTACCAGAAGCGGGGAACATTGCTCCTCAGGTATGTGCTCCCTCCTGAGGCCATCACCCCAGGGAGCCGCCACAATCCCATCCCTCCTATACAGAGGATTTCTGGAGGCTTCTAAAGGGATTGTACTACAATTCAAAAAGATCACATGGTTCCAGCTGCTCCATCAGTGGGCGGAGGTCTGCAGCCCATGGCCTGACGCCGCTCCCAGAAATCTTGGTGCTTCACTGAAGAAAGGCTGGTTGAAAGCTGTTCAGGCTTGGGGTATGGCTCAGCTGATAGTGTTTGGCTGGCATGCAGGGGGTTCTCTGTTCAGTCCCCAACACTTTAAACCAGGTCTGTGGCACAGGCCTGTAATCCCAGCTCTCAGAGGCAGAAGAATCCAAAGTTCAAGGCTATTCAGGAAACAGGAAGTGTTAGAAGAAGCAGGCCCCTTCTAGAACCTAAGTTCTGCCACTCTGTGACCTTGGGAGAGCTGCCTCCCCTTCAGAACTGTGGTCATGAAAAAGCAGTGATGCTAAGCGTTGGCAGAGAGCACGTCCGTCCGTCCGTCCGTCCGTGTCAGCCGGTGTTCGCTGGCATGCGCTGTGTGCCAAGCCCTAATCCAGACTCAAGGGAAGTGGAAGAGGCCAAAAAGAAGAGAAGGGGAATGCTTGACTTAGTGCACAGAGGTCGTCTCAAGTGACCAAGCCCTGCAGAGACAAGAATGGCTACCATTTTGCCCCATTTCAAAGGCAAGGAAACTGAGGCACAGGATATTTGGTCCTTTACCCAAGGTTATTCATCTAGCTGAAGACTGAGCCTGGATTCCAGATGTGGTCCTGGGCTTCCGTTCCAACTGCTGATCTCATTGGTGTGGTGTAGTGAGATGGCAGATGGCGTTGGTGGGCAAACTGTGTGTGTGTGTGTGTATGCTGAGACAAAGTTACAGTGTGTAGCCCAGGTTAGATGATGTATGATCGCCTGTCTCTGCCTTTCAGGTGCCAGGATTACAGGCATGTGCCACCATGGTAGGCTTTTTATCTCCATGTCTTTTTCTGTGTGTGTGTGTGTGTGTGTGTGTGGTGTGTTCACATGTGTTTGGGGGCACATGAGTGCATGTGCATACGGAAGCCCCAGGTTGATCTCAGGAATCATCCTCAACCCTTTCCACCTTGTTCCGTGAGGCAGTCTCTCAATCAAAGCCAGAGCTCGCCATGTCTATTGCTCTTAGGGCAGTGCCGGACCCTTCCCAGGCTGGATTAGAAATGAGTCACCAGATGCTGGGCGGTGGTGGTGCATGCCTTTAATCCTAGCACTCGGGAGGCAGAGGCAGGTGGATCTCTGTGAGTTCGAGGCCAGCCTGGTCTCCAAAGCGAGTTCCAGAAAAGGCACAAAGCAACACAGAGAAACCTTGTCTCGAAAAACCAAAAAAAAAAAAAAAAAAAAAAAAAAAAAAAAAAAAAAAAAATGAGTCACCAGGCCCAGCTGGGATTTATGTGGGTTTGGGAATCTGAACTCTGGTCTTCTTGCTGGTGCCAGGTTTTGATGGGCTGCTGCGTGCCCAGTGTCACTCACTCTCTGTGAGTTTAGGACAAGTCCCATCTGACTGGAGGACGCAGCTGTCCCCTGATATTACCAGCTGTCTTAATGTCTGGGGCCTGTCTCTTCTCCACACCAGGCACCCCTGGCACCTCCTGGTCCCTCGGAGCCTCCTCTTGCAGGGGACCTTCACGGTGGACAAACAGCGCCAGCGTCACTTCCTGGAGACCAAGGCTGTCCTGAACGGCCAGGAGGAGATCCTACACACTGCGGTGCTGGGCTGCCAGGCTGGACACCCCTATGTGAGTGGGCGGTAGGGAAAGCGGCCTCTGGAAGCGGGGCACCCACTTACCTCTGCACATGCATGTCTCTCCCAGATCTGCACAGGCCTGACCCACCCCTTCGATGATAAGGTTGTCCCCAGGAGCCTCGAGGGGTGCCTGGAGGCTTGGAATCTGAGCAATGTAAGTGACCTTTCCAACCCAATTGTCCCTGTTCAGTTTTATCACCTCTGACCCAGACCAGTGCGATGTTTCCCTGCCTGGATTCTCTGTCTCGCCCCGAGGCCCCACTACAGACTCTGGGCAGCCACAGAGGTCTTTACCAGATGCTCACAGAGTTTGTCTCACCCCTGCTCCTCACAGCTTATCTTAGGCTGGCCAGATGTCCCCTCACCTGCATTCGCAGTTCGGCTTTGAGCATCTACATGACAGACATGTCCACTTAGGTTTGCACGGCCATTCTGCCAGCCTTGGACGCTCTGCGGGTCTGTAATGTTCCCATGAGGTGTCACACCCCCCCCCCCCCCCCCCCCAGTCACCACTTCTCCACACCACAGGGGGTGGTGCTTGAGGAGTCACTGTATGTCAGTTAGCTTGATGCTATTTATAGTCTGTTAGCCAGCAAAGCTAACAATGTCTCCTTTAGGCTGTGGGTTCATGACTCTGGAACAGTGACTTCACGCTCCTGTTCAGTGTGAAAGCACAGTGAGATTGTTTAGTGAGTACATGTGACCGTGTCCCAATGCCACTCTGTGGGACTGGAGGGATGGCTCAGCAGTTGAGAACATTTGCTGCTCATTCAGAGGACCCTAGTTCAGTTCCCAGTACCCACAACCACCCTTAACTCCAGGCATGTGATGGCGCCTCTGCCTCCATAGACACCTGAACTTGTACATACAGCACACGATTAAAAACACAAATAGCACAAGGTAGAGGCAGGAGGACCTCTGGGAGTTTGAGGCCCACCTGGTCAAATTCCAGACCAGCCAGGACGATATGGTGAGACCCTGTGTCAAAATAAAATTAAAAAAAAAAAATTTAAAACCCTTTTTAAAACCCCTTGTGACTCACATACACTCTAGACTCACATTGCCGGTATATCATTACAAGTTCGTGTCCCTGGGCCCCAGTTCCCTTTCCTGTGAGGTGGGCAGCCTGTCCCTTTTCACACAGTGGGCACATCTTTGAATATAATTGATAACCTCCCAATTACATACGACATGTTTACCAGGTCTCCTTAGACTCTTCTTCCTGACCCTCTTGGGGGAGGGGGATCACCACAATCTCCAACGAGCATTTACTGAACACCTACTGTGTGCACAAGGAATAAAACAGTGCTTCTCTCCTCTAGGAAGGAAGAAGGAGCCAAGCAGGCAGTGGGGGCTGAGTGGATTCTAGGCTTGAGTTCCCATAAGTCAGCGGGGCTGTCAGTGGTTCCTCCGATGCTGGCCAGTGACATCCGAGGGGAAACAGTACAGAATGCCAAGTCAGACACTTTCAGGGGTGGCTCCCAGTGGCTTTTATGGGTTCCTCAGCCGGAGATGCTGAGTGACCTCCAGGCCAAACATAGCCACACATGTGTTTTTGTGGCCTGCCTGCCTTGAGAACTGGGAGATTTTAGACAAAGCCTGGATTTCTGCTGTTTATAAGAAAAGAAAAATAAGAAGGTCTGGCCCTGCTTAGACTCAAATCCCAGCTGACAACATCTGGCCAGGAGCAGAGGCTGGAGAGGCCTCCATTTACTGTCCTCCTGCTGTCTGCTCTGCTCAGAGCTATGCCTTGGCTGGGAGGCAGCTCCACGGGAGAGTGATTGCCTAGGCTCTGGGTTCTAGCCCTGCACTCAAAAAAGAACAGAAAGGATTTGTCGCATATGCTTTCCCCTGGCTGTTTCCTTTCCTGCCATCTTGGTTCCAAGATAAACCATGTGTGCTTATATAGAGTGAACAATCACACATGAGTCCTGGGCAGGCAGTCGGAGTTCTCCATCAGTACAGACAAGAAGAAATGACACCAACCAGCAATGGCATCACTGGCTTCTGGCACCTGCTGAACGGTTGTTGAGTGAATAATTGATAACTATGTGTTTCCCCTTGTTGGGTTACATATTGCCCCTAATATAGCAACTTAAAACGTCTTTCAGTCCCTGAGCTCAGACCTGCAAAAGAATCTTAAAACTGTGAGCCAGCACCACCGATTCCTTGCAGAGATGCTCTGGAAGAAGCCCCTGCCCCATTCTGCTTCAGAAGCTGCCTGCACTCCTTGGCCCTTCCAAAGACAGCAGAGGAGTTCACACTCTCTGTGTCTGACTGTGACCCTCCTGCTGTCCCTCATAAGGTCCTCATTTAGACAAAGATGGAAACTTGTCCCCATCTCCAGATCCCTGACTCACCTTTGTCCAGAGGCCATGTTGCCTCTGGCTCCAGGGTTAGGATGTGGGTCTTGCTGCTCCCTTCTCCCACTCCAGTTCAGCTTTGACCTTGACACCTCAGGTCAACTATCTAATTTGTGTGCTGATATCTAAGCTGTAGGAAGCTGGCAGTGAAGAAAACAGACTGACTGAGCCCCACTTTATGGGGAGGTTTTAACATTGCTTCATCAAGCCCACCCACCACCTCTAGCTAAGAGCACTGGTGTTGCCCTGCAGGAAGGTCCAGCATGCACCTGGCTCCACTTCCTTTTAAATGAATGCAGGAGACTAGAGTACACTTTGGACATCAATCTCTGGGCCGCTTGCTTTGTTCTCTGGCTTCTGACATGGCTTCTTTTGCATGTGGACATGATGGTGACCTCTCTCCATGCCTCTGGTTCTCACACACTCAGGCTAAGAACAGTGAGGTCAAGGCTACATTAAAAGTCAACCAGAAAGTCATTCTGCATCTGAAGGGTTTACACCAGGGCAGCTCTCAGCACAGAGGGATCCGGCACAGCGTGGCTTTGGATGCCACCCATTCCTCCCAGGTGAGTGTCCCCAGGCTGGGCAAATGTTAGCTAGTGTCTGCCAAGGGGAGCCTGAGAACCTGCTATGGGGTGCACGCCTGTAATCCCAGCACTCAGGAGGTGAATCGGGATGATCAGGGTTCGAGGTCATCCTTAGCTGAAGCCTGAGACTGTTTAACCTGGCTATGTAAATGCTTTTCTTTTAAACTTTTAATTTTTAAATTTTCATATATATGAATATGCCCATGCAGCCCTGTGAATGTGTAGCAGTCAGAGAACAACTTGAAGGAGTCAGTTTTCCGTCCACTATGTGGACCCTTGGACAGAGCTCAGGTCATCAGGTTTGGAGGGGGTGCCTTTACCTGCTGAGCCATCTTGCCAGCCTGAGACCTAAAACAAACAAAAAAACTAAATAAAGTAAAACAAGACAAAACAAAAAATGGAGTATGCGGGGGGAGCTGAGCAGGACCACTTGCAGGAGCGAAGGGCATGATTCCTCTTGGCTGTCTCCCTAGACCCTCCGCTTGAACGGTGGCTTTGACCTCACATGGCCTCGACAAGGAGCATTTGACTTCAGCGTACGTGTACAAGCTGCTACCAACCACAGTGCCACATCCCAGGTCAGAGGCGGGACTCTGCCCCCGTGGAAGGGAAAGGGTCTTAATGATCCACTGAAGGGAACTAGGGCTGTGGCTCAGTTGGTAGAACACTTGCCTGGTGTACACGAAGCCCTGGGATCTATCCCCAGCACAGCATAACCAAGGCATGATGGTTCATAACTGCAATTCCACAGGAAGGTCAGGGGTTCAAGTCCATCCTCAACTGCATAGAGTTTGGAGTCAGGCTGAGCTACATGAGACCTTTCTCCAAAAAATAAAAACAGCCAGTCTCTTTGTTAGGGTTTCTAATGCAGTGACAAAGCACCATAGCCAAGGAAACTTATAAAAGAAAGCATTTAATTTGGCTTACAGGTTCAGAGGTTAGAGTCCATGAAGGTGAAGCACAGGCATGGTATGGGAACACCTTGATCCTCAAGCAGGAAGCAGAGAGCATATCAGGGAGGCTTTAAAATGTAATCACCCCACCCCACCCCACCCCTGCCACATGGCAGACACACCCCACCCCTGCCACATGGCAGACACACCCCACCCCTGCCACATGACAGACACACCCCACCCCTGCCACATGGCAGACACACCCCACCCCTGCCACATGGCAGACACACCTCCTATTGCTTCCCAAACAGCCGCCTATAGGGAATCAAGCATTCCAAACACCACGTCCAGAGAAGGGGCCCTGTATGAGGTGATGGGAGATAAGAGGGTGGCAAGGTGGCCTGGGAAGCCAGCAGCCTGGTCCTTGTTTAGGTGGGAAGCACGGATGGGTCTCCTGAGTAGATGTTTGCCTTATCAGGACCACTCATTCTCTGACCACACCACGGCCCAGAGCATCTCAGCCCCACACACCCACACTGCAGCCCAGAGCGGCCCGGCCCCCCCCCACACACTGCAGCCCAGAGCGGCCCTGCCCCACACACCCACACTGCAGCCCAGAGCGG